TAATGTTTTACTTTTACAAACATGATGTTGTGTTGGCTTCGGAAGTGATTTCTGGAACTGGTGCCAGAGCTATTTATCAGACAGAGTGAGTGTGTGAGAGTACACACACTAAAATTGGCTTCCGAAACCCAGTACTAAAACTAAATACAGGGATAGGAATAATACAAAACTTTAGATTTTACTGTTTTAGCACACCGGTTGCATGGACTGTTCTGCCAAGCCAGCTAACAATGAAAAAACTTACGGTTTCATCAATAATTACAGTTTTGTTTCTTATTCTCTTCTGTTAGTCTGTTCTTGGTACATTATTTGCCTGTGTATGTGTGCACGTGTGTGTGCACTGTAAACAGGGCAGTGCTGTAAAAGGCCACATAGTTTATGCAAATTCAACCTTTCCTGTAGACATCATGTTAAATAAGTCCAAGGCCTGACCACTGAATGCATCCAGGCAATGCAAATGTAATGCAAACTAGCTTTCCCTTAGCAAAAGGTTGATGATTCTTCAGGGTAAACCAGGACGCTGAAAATATATTTAACAGTAGTTTTACAGTGGTTTAACAGCAACTGGAGATGAAACAATTTGAGTTGTACCAGTATTGTAAATTCCTCCATTACTGCCTAAAATGTGGATATCGGGTGTCGTCAAATACCCGTGTCTGTGCACACGTATCAGATCGTTATTTGGTATTGGAATTGCTACCAGGAAGGAAAAAATGTATCGGACCATCTCTGGAAACAATTTGTGGATTGATTAATTGGTCGATTAATCGAGTAAATTTGAAAAAATATTCAGCTGATTACTCATTAATGCATATAATCATTAGCTGCAGCTCTATGAGCAATGTAAACAAAATTACATTAAACTCGCTTTAACAGCAGAACTGCATATGTCAGATAAAAACCAAACTATCTGCTTGGCTGGGTAATGGAGATGATGTAACTGGAGTAAAATCACTCTTTAAATGGGCTTCCCAGTGTGCACAGCCATATCATATTGTGTTTGGTACTCGAAGCAGCCTTTTTGACACTTTAATTCTGCATCATAACACAAATCCGAATGCTCCATCAGTCCCCAATTATCAACTCATCTTTTTCATCACATTGAAAGCAACAGAATCCCATGTAATTTGCTACACAGTAATCCCAGCCATCATCCCTCTCATTCCAAATATATTGCTGACGTTCCCTCTATCATTATCCTGTATATTCCCACACGCTCCCAGTGCTTCTGCTGTTCCTCCTCCTCAGCAGTACTCATGGGTTCCTGAGTCCTAACGAGCCATTGAGTGATAATTGCTCCTCGAGGGCCAGTGCTAACTGACACCACTGCCTCCTTTATGTCATTCAGTCAAGCCCCTGTCAGGCATAATAGAACTGCAGGCTGTATTCACTGCCAGTGTTTCCAACCAGTCGAGACCTAATGACTGTTGAGTCCACTAATTTCAGATCAAGCTCTTCTCTGGACTGCAAAGCACAGCAATACAAACTGCATATTGTGACATGTTCCTCACAGCAATAAAGCCTCAGAATCTAACACTTGAGAGATGTGTATTAAATGAAGCTAGTTATTTTCATTATTTTCTTTGATATTGATCACATGGTTGTGCAGCAGAAGCAAGCTATGATATTTACACCACTAAAATAATTACAAAAGAACAATCTTAAACCAAAAAGGACAGAGTCTCACTGGATTTAGCTGAGTCCGTCCCAAAGCTACATACAGCATGGACTGTACAGCTTGGATGTCCTTGGTGCCAAGGGCAAGTGTGTGTGACTTCTGAGATACAGAGAGGCCTGTACTGCTGCTATGTGACACGATCCGAAGGGATGGCTTGTACTCCAGGCACACGCTGTGTCCTCTTCCGTCCTGCCAGTGGCTTTGACCTCAACAGATGACAACGGACGGCCACAAGGGGCGATGGGAAAGTGCTGTACATGTCAGTTTTCTGCTGGCCAAAGAACTAACGACTGGTTTCATACATGTCCAGAAATAGATCTTTTCATGTTAGTCAGGTAGAGTAAAAATGAATTATTCTGCCTGTTTATTGAGAAAAGACTACCTTTTCACATGGCTAATACACATTTAACTTTTCTCTTAGACTTATAGGCTGATTTATTAACCCATTTTTATTTTCCTTGTGCATAAATGGTGATAGTTATAGGATGGCGTTATTACACTGCAAGGCATGCATGTAATCTCTATGCATTTTACCTTGCTGTTGAAGCCTATTTAATGTTAACAGCATTTAATTCAGACGCGTGTGCTGTGTTGTACATGTTGCAGAAATGTTACTTGACCCAGTAAGACTGTCATCATTACTTTGACATACATAGTGACTCGGGTGCTCCTTCAGACATTAGACTGACATGTAAAACTACCACTAACATAACGAGGTGCGTGTCTGAAAGGGGCCTTTTAGACAAATTGGTCATTTACCAACATAAGGGATGGTCAAGGGGTGAAGGGGTCAAGGGGGAATGTTTAACCGTACTGTAGCTGGTATGCCGGTATGTTTAGTACAAGCCCCCCCCCCCCAATGTGCAGCTCTCAATTCACCATCCAGTCAAATACCTGCGTCTCATCTCACCTTCACACTACAGCCTCATTTAAAAAAACGCACTAATGTTTACATACATACACAGCATATTTAACACGTGATCTTTTCACACAAAGTCATGTCCTGATGGCAGTTCAAATTTATTGTGATTTTCCATTATATTACCATGTCCTTACATTATGTCTCTACATAATCATACTAGTGAACAGTCTGACTACTAGGGTCAGTTAATATACAGAAATTAACAGCATATTGTCATTAACGTCCACATTCTGCATGAAATTTCCTCGAGTCGGGAGACAGGTCACAAATGATTTGTCTCCTTTTTTTCTCTCCCAAACTTTACTCACACCTAATTTGTGTGAATGTGCCAAGCAGCTGCAATATTGCCTTATTTGCATTCCAGCAGCCAGCTTTGACGCATTGCCACACGCTGGCATACAGACGCTGTCCTCTCTCCAAATTGCCTGCTAAGTAGCTTCTGGACATCAGCAGTCACCCTGTCTGTCTGTACTGTTTGTGACTGCTGTGTTCAAATTTTTCCAGCCTGATTCCTCTGGTGGCTCCCTGACACAAACTGCTTCTGTCATCAGGCGCTGAAACCCAGCTGGATTCTGCTCTTACGAGATCATCCTTCCTTTTCTCTTCTATCTGATGCCAACGAGAGCAAGAGAAGAAAAGCACAATGCAGACGCAATGTGACACACACAATGTCTTTCAATGGAAGATGCGGATGGCTTGTTTGTCAGCTTTTGTCTTCATAAAGTCACCATGGTGATGATGGAGAATATGGTGACGTTGGCAGTGTTGAGGGAAATAATAACAACTCCCATCCATCAATGTTTCCACAAAAAACCCCAAGATCAGAAGTTTTAGACCAGCAGCCATCAACAGCCTTACCCATTTAAAACAACCCATCACTTGACATCTTCAGAAACGTAATGCATGCAAAGCCATCTGAGAGACTCATTAAAGCCCTAATCCAATGAGGAAACTTTTAAATCCCACAGACTCAATACTCAGTATTCAATAATGTATGTAGAACATTTCCTAGAGAGAGGGAAGAAACCAAGCACATCTTCCTGGCTGTGAAATTAATCAGTCGTGTTTAATGGAAGCCGGCATGGGCGGCTGATTATTCTCTAAGCGGGAATCCAGGATGAGGCAAAACAAAAAAAACAAAAAAAACACCAGCGTGCTAGCATTTATGGCAGCGAGAAGCTTGCAGGCGATGTAGCTGCAGGGAGGGAGCGTTCAAGACAACACTTCACACATCAGTGAGACAGCAGAGCTGCGGGCAGCCCCTTACTCTCCGCCTGTCACTGATGGTGTGATGAGGTTGCTGCTCTGACCCTTCAGTTAGTGCTCACAACACACTGTACTTCACACTGTAGTAACCAGGGAGCAACCTTGCACAGTCTGTAGAACAGTGACTGAATGATCTGAAAAACAGCAATTATACTGTATCTAAATGTACTGTATGTCACTGAATGTTCCCCATCTATCCATCAATCTCAGGTCCTTCTTACATGACTTTCACAGATTAAAAACACCTTTAAAAGGAATTTTTATTTAAGTATTATACTGTGGATAACTATGATTGTGCCTTACATAATCACCGTTATATACTGTAGTATAACTGTGATTGTGCCTTAGGGAGATAGAAAAGTGCCAAAACTAACAAAATAAATCCCTATAGACTAATATACCAATTATATTTCTTAAGGTATATTCAGTGTTGGGTCTAAAATTAAATGATTTTAGTTAAGTATATTTATCTCTGGTTATAGTATTTGACTTTAGAGCTGCATCAAATGATTATTTTCATTGTCAGTTAATCTGAAAATTATTTTATTGATTATTCGATAATTAGTCCACGTTTAAGAGCCTAGGTGATGTCTTGAAATGACTTCAACCCCCAAATATTACATTTTTTATTCAACATCACATAAAACACAAACACACACACATAAAGAACAGCAATTTGCCCTTTCTTGCTTGATGAAACAATTACAACAACCAATCCTTATAAAAAACTTTTGCCAATTTATTATTTCCATGTGTATCGACTAGTGGATTATTTGCCTTGTTTCCGGTAGTTTTAACGAGCTCGTTTTAATTTATAGACAAACCAGATCCCTTTAGAAGGAAGTGAAGTAAAGCAATTCCCACTGAGACTTACCAATAAAACCAACCTACAGCCCGTAAAGGTGCAGCTTCTTTAACACCACAGCTCAGCTACATTTGACAACAAGACAAACACAAGCTCCATCAACAGTCCTCTGGCTCACTACGAACAGCCAGAGGCACACACTGTCCTTCTTTCCCTCTCTTGGTACATTTTCACTGCCTTTTGCTACATCACCAGAACCTTTTTTTTTTTTTTTCCAACAACCGTAACCACATCCAAACATTTCCAACACACTCCGCTGTCTCACTCACTTTCGTGCTTTGAAGTTCCCCATGTGTGCCGCGGAACTCCGGGGCTCTTGATAATCGCTCTGCCGGCGGATTTGAGGGCATCCATCCCGAGGTGTGTCTGCTCTCCGGCAGGTGGATTCTCCCCCCACCCTCCCTCTTTTTTTTTGTCTCTCCGGGACCACAGGGAGGTAAATACAGCAGGCTGAGCTCGACGGCGGAATACGCCAAAGAAGAAAACGGCGAAAGAGAGTAGGAGAGGGGAGAGAGAGAGAGAGAGAGAGAGAGAGACCTCACGGATTCAAGTTCCCACCCCTGAATGGCTCTCGGTTGCTCTCCCCCCACAGAGACTGATAACCGGCAGAGGAGCAGCATGTGCACCTACTGCACCGCTCCCAAAGTTAAGGGCGTGTCCTCCAACCTCCATAAGCAGCCTCCTTCCAATGTGAGGGGGGGGGGTCTTAATGAGGAACCATTACAGCCTTATTGCAGTGTGCGGGACGTTTACACTCACCAGTGAGTTTATGGATAATGAGCTTTTTGCCTCGTAGGAGTTTGTCTGTGGTTTTGACTTGTGGTGGATGCGCCGTTGCCAAGTTTTTGTCTTAAACAAAAAAAAGGTTGCATTATCCCTTTAACGTGATTATTATTGAGCTGCTTTGAACACAACTCTTGTTGTTTTAATTATTGATATAATTAAAAGTGTAAGTTAATATCGTTATGGACTCCCTCATCATTCCCTGTTTTTTTTCCGTGGCTGGATCACAGATATGTGTTATAAAACACAACCAGTGGTGAAAAATAACTAAGTACATTTACTCAAGTACTGTACTTAAACAGTTTTTAGGGGCTTTACTTGAGGGTACTACTTTATATTTCTACTCCACCATGTTTCAGAGATAAGTTCCGATGGATTCTGAATTATAACGCAAAATATAATCAAAAAAATATATTTATAATGTATTATTATAGGTCAAGATGAGACCTGATCACAAGCCCCCCATCAGTATATAAATTAATATGAGCTCCACCTTTACCAGCTGCTACAGGAAGGTAATGAATGCATCCAGTAATTATGATCCAATATTTGAACATTATTATGAGATGGAATATTGTATGAGTAGCATATTTTATAGTTGTATGCATTTACCTAAGTGAAATTTTGACTGCATGGCTTTTACTTGTACTAAAGTATTTTCACACTATGGTGTTGCTACTTAAGAAAAAGATCTCATTGGCCATAAATTATCAACTACCAGCCACAAAACTAGGCTTCATTTGATACAAATGCTTTTTTTTTTTGTATGTTGGCGCCCTCCATTGATTGCAACCAGTTACTACAGTGTTGTTGTTACCCACCTTCACACACTGCACACAGTGTAAGCATGGTCATATTTGGTGATATCAGTAATAAACTGTGGATTGCTTTTTAAATCACCAATTTAAAAAAAAAAAATTATAGGCATCCTTGTGACGTAGTAGTCTGAGATGGTGGTTCCCAACCTGAGGATCGGGGTCACAAGATGATTAATAGTTGGAACTTATGTTCATCTCTTCATACTCTGATGTTTGATTTTTTATTACTGGACCATATCACTTCAGAAAAATATTAGAAAGAGGGAAGGGAAGTTTGAAGTAGACTTGCAGCCGGTCTAAGATGATTACAATAATCTACTAATCTAATTACTGCAAAGCAATACAATAAAGACCCCACCCACCCTTCCCCCAAAAAAAACTCAGTTTTTTTTTTTTCAATTTATCCACATGTGCCATAATTAGGAAACAGGAAACAACTCTCAGTTGAACTTCCACTGAAAGAAAAATCAATTTGTGACAGACACAAAACGTGCATTGTGTTTTTGTCCTTCATGGTGAAATCTTTATTCAGTTTCTCTCCACAACCCAGCACAGGTTATCATGTCATGTCCGAGTTCATCTCTCACAAGTATTTCACACTCAGGAAGCTAAGCAGAGCATGTATAGTCATGTATTTCTCATAAATCATCTAGAAGGGATTATTAGAGTTTAGCCTGAGGTGGCATGCTGCTGTGGTAATTTTGGTGCTCTGTGATCATTTGAGAGGGTCTTTAGTTTATATTTAATGCTCTCAGCAGCGCACACTACTGCAACTACTTTACTGCGGTGCGTGTGGGCATGTGTGTGAATCCGCTTGTGTGTGTGTTCATGTGATATCCTGGATACACAGCAAGTAGTAGAATCATGCAGCTACTTTTAAATTTAAGACTCTTCAGAAAAAGACTGCAGTGTTGCTGCCATGTTGTTGTCACTAATGCGCAGAAGTGTCCGCATTAGAATGAGCCTTTTTTTACAAACTGAAGCAATGTCTCTCTCCCCAGTTTAAATGGAAATAGCCTCGTGAAGGCTAAAAGCTGCACTAAGACAATCCAAAAGTGACATTGCCCCTTGCCTTCTTCCATGGAAGACTGTGGATTTGAGATTAATAGTTATAATTAATGGTATTCATAGGCCCTCCAGTAAATTCAATCACTGCCATAATGTCACAGAGCACTTTTTTTACTCCAATAGAGAACAACAGTTACAGGCTTCAAGATTTTTCAGATGTCATTTTCAACTGGACTTCTTTCACAAAAGAGTAATCTAACAGTGAGGCATGCGTCTTCTGTTTAAGGTTGCCCAATTTAGGTGTGACCACTGCAGCTTAAAATACTGGAGATATTCTTCAGGTAGAAAAGAAATCACCCCTACTGTCTCGCGACTTGGCTTTAAAAGATTTTGATATTTACTTGGTGACACGAAAGTTGTTAGATTCTTAATCCCCCATAACACAAATCATGCTCGTGGGGTCTCTTTATTTGTAACGGGAGAGGGAGGTGAGGTCACTAAAAGAAGTATAAGTATACAGCCAGAGGAAGAGAGGGCTTCATGAAATAGATTTATCATAGGGGAGTAAGGTCAGAAAGGACAACATAGAAAAGAAAACAGACTGAACTAGTCAGCTAACATGCTCTCAGTCACTTCTGTTTTAAATTCATTGGTGGATGCTATCCTGTCTGCTTTACAGTTTATCCCCCTCCAATTCGTATGTCTCATGCTATTTGTCTCATACACACACTCTCACACACTTTTTCATTTGCTCTCTCTAAACCCGCGTCTTCCTTAGAGTCTGGAGCTAGAAGGCAACTGGTGGGAGGGCCTGTCTTAGAAGCAGGAGGTGGCCTTGGACAACGATTTTCAGGTCAATCCGGTGACATGTCGGCTCATGGATTTGTTTATCTCCATAAAACCTGACTAATCTTCAACCAAGTACAAAGCCTGCAATGGAGGACCTCATATACTGTCTATTTCAAAGACTGGGTAAAATGTCCCTTCATCTCCTCCTGGTTTCCCTCCTGGTTTCTCTCTTCCCTCCTGCTCTTCTCCTTCTCCTCCTCCTCCTCCCTCTCGTCTTTCTTCCACTTCTGAGGCACGCGGGTAGTCATGGGACTGGAACTGCACTTGTCCCAGGGACTCCACTGACAAGCTTCGGCTAGACAGGATGCTACTTAGGCTGGACTGGCGAGCGCCTCTGGGATGGGTCTCAATTTCCACACGGACCTCAATATTGGTTCCTTCCCTGGGGTGACAGTAAAAACACATAAAGAAATCAATATAAAGAGTGCCAGGCATTTACAGTGTTTCTGACTTGAGGATTATATGCTTAAATATAGGTATAACAACTGAATAAAGCTTTCCAAAAAACAATTAAGGAACAAGACTAAGAATCTATCATGAAGCAAATAACCAAGAACTGGCTAAAACTGATATACCCATCAGTCCAATGGATGGAAAGAAACAAAAAGGAAATCTCAGAGATGAAACATATAAGTTATAGAGTGAGAAATGAAGAAAGCAAGGTATAAAAGAAGGTGGTTGAAGTGGCCATGAATTAATTTATATAATAAAAATGACACAATTTAGAACCACACTAACTAACAGAGGAAGATCCTAGGAAAACAAGTGCAGACTCACCTGAATAGGTACATTTTAGAGCAGATATGTGTTTGTATATATGTATATATGCAAATGTGTTTATTTGTAGGTATGAATATGCGCATTATTGATTTTGGTTTATATGTTACTGTTGCAGTTGTTGTTTAGGTTTATTGGTAGAACTGGGTGTTTGGAATATACAGTATATGTGTGTGTCTGTGTGTGTATAGGGTTAGGGTTATAGTTAGTCATTATAATGGATAGTCTGTGGAACCATTAATTTTCAGCTAAATGCTTAAAATACAGATGCTTGTCAGGTATGAGGGTTAGCATGTTTACCCATTTATACATCATAGACCACAGTGTTGAGAGAAATTACATTTTTGACCTGATGGTGGTGCAAGATGAAACCAAAATTATAACACATCATTCTCAGGGGAACATGAATATGTATACCAAATTTATATACCAAACCATCCAAAAGTGGTCGAAACAGTTAGTTAGTCTGGACCAAAGTGGTGGACCGACAAACAGACAACCATTCTATAAACATGGCTAAAAACCTCCCTAAAAACATAAAGATAGGTGTAGAAACAGAGGCTGAGGCAACATTTACCTTGAAGGAAGAGTGTGTGTGTCATCAACCTTGATGTCAGGCACAATAACCACCTTGCAGTCTGATTGGCTGTCCTGCTGGGTGTATCCATGGTGTTTTGTGGCTTCATCCAATTCCTCATAGCTATCTAGCTCCGGGGGCGTGGTGCTTGTACTGGGGAGAACTCCCACTTCCTGTACACTGACTCTGACTTCCTGGACGCTGGTGTCGCTGAGCGTGGGGTTTTTCTGACCCGTCCAGTGGTCACTGACTACATGAGAGAATAGAAGGTCTATAAGAGAAGTTGAAATTTCATCAGATCAGGCAGCGCTTTGGGGCAAAACATTACAGTGCACCTAGTACTTATGTCAAGAGTCCTTAACTTAACTACACTACTACTACTACAATTATTAAAGGCATAGCTCTATAATTTGGGATATGCACTTATTTGCTTTTGTATTTAGTTTATCATATGAAGCTAGAGCCTGGAGATGATTCACCAGCCACTCTAAAGCTTACTGATAGATTGCAACCAGTGGAGACTACAAGAAGTCCAGCTGCTGCTCACCAAGAAATAGTTCCAGCACTATTTATATTACAGTTTGTGTACAGATTAAACAAAGCAGCTACAACATATTAATGCATGTTAAAGGTGTGCTAAGAGATGGATTTTTAAGCTTTGCACACAACCAGGCTAGATGGTTCCCTCTGCTTGCAGTCTTTATGCTAAGCTAAGCAAAATTTCAATTATCTAACTCTCAGCTAGAAAGCAAATAAGAATATTTCCCAAAATGTCAAACTATTCTTTCCTACTCTGTACTCACAGCTGGCTAGGTCCTCCAGTTGGATTTTGTGTGTTTCAGGGGGCTCACTCTGCGGCCGACACCAACCATTCCTACAGAGTGACATTGGGACGACCCCATAGACATATGTCAGCATTAGCGGCACACCCACACCTGCAGGAAAGCATACAAGTATGAGAAACCCATTCAGAATTTTTTTTTTTTTCATAATCATCTATTAATGACAGGAAAAAAGGTTATTAAAACAGTACTCTTTTGCACTT